AAAAGGGGGGGGGGGGAATTAGCCGTTCCAGAAGTTTGCCAAACTTAGGTGTAAGGCTCACAGGTGGCAGGTCTCCTTGCGACTTTGGTGCTGATTTTCAGGATCGGGACACTGGTTAACCTGTTCCGTGCCTATGAGACCTGACCCGTCCTAAGTAATCGGGAGAGTACATGGGTGAGGCATGGTGCAAACTCGACACAAAAGCCCTCCAGCAGCTACACTTATAGTTTACCAGCGGGTACAGCCATCTCTGGTCCAGTGTCTGATAGTTTATAGGCTACTTGTCATGGCTGTAGGTCAGATGAAATTTCTTCTGATGGCAAAAACATCGCAATTGTTCGGTACGAAGAGATCTATATAGTGTACATATTTCTGTCAGACATTGATTGCCAGCTCAGCTGCAGTGCTGTAAGCTGTAGCTTCAGGTAATTCCAGGGACCAAGGAGCGGGCCGTCCATTAGTTAAGCTTCTTACATTTCTGCACCATGACCCAGTTCCACCGCTAACATTTGTTTTTTTGCCACCCGCCGCTTGTACCAACTGGTATTTGCGGGGTGAATCTATTGACATACATCCTCTCTTAATTTCTTTAGTTTACCGATCGGTGACGGCTGTGTGCCCTGTTACGGTGGTTGATGAGGGCCATGAGTCGCCTTTGTCATCCAGGGGCTCATTAATTTTGTACTGGTACGTAAGTTCAGATAGATCATCCTCGTAAGCCAACCAATATTATTATTCTAATATGCATCTCAGGGACATCTTGTCAGTCCTGGGAGGCAATTACAGTTGCCGAGCTGTCTAAAAGATGAATCTGTGATAACAGCCGGGTTTTTTGTGGTCACAATCTATCCGCACTACAGTGCTGTGTTATGCGGTTCCAAGGTGGCGGTAGATTTAATGGTTTGTTTTGGAGAAACAATATCATTTAATATTTTACCAAGAGACCGCCTATCCTCTGGTGGACACGGTCACTATTTGTCAGAGGTAAAGCTGTCGGGTCGGTGGATCCGCATCAAATGCACAGTTTGAAAGGCCACAATAGGAACATTCCTTGCTCTGGGCCTGAACATCTGAGAAAGCCGACACTTTCTAGGAGATGATCAACTAGTGCTTGCCGGCGTGCGGCGATTGCAACGAGTGGGAGATACATCCCAGCTAGTACGGTACTGTCTGCTTGAGACGGTCAAAGGATGCTTTAGCAAACTTCCAATTCATCTTGGACTTGGATGTCTGGCTCAAGTTATGAAAAATCATTCTTCATATACACAATAACACCCCCGTCCTTGCCTTTGTTCCCGGCCGAGAGGTTTTTGCCCCGGCACAATGTTTGGAATCCTGCTTTGAAGACTTGTTTGTGACGTACATTTTTGTGCTGGTAATTTTCCGTAACAATTGAAACATCAACCTGA